AATTGTAGTTGACGATTTTGAGATATTTCAGCCCCTAATCTTCATAGACTCCGTCCTTAATCTCTAACAATGGGTGCCCTATGTGGAGTGGCTAGGAAGGAAGCCAAAGGTGGATATGCTTCGGGTGTTCGGGTGCATGTGCATGGCGCTCGTGCCTAAGCATCTTCGGCACAACAAGCTTGGTGCCAAGGCGGTGTGGGCCGTGCACTTGGGCATGGCTCAAAACAGCAAGGGATGGCTTCTTTGGGACCCATTCACCAAGAAGTTCTTGGTGAGCAGGGACTGCAAGTTCATGGAGAACTTCATGTACAAGGATTGGAAGGCGGAGAATGAGGCGAAGATAGGCGTGCGGTTTGGGGAGGTGAAGAGTTCCGGTTTGGAGCATGTGGAGCTGCCTTTGGAGCTGAGCAGCGGCAGCACAACCACAAGGCAATCCTCCCTTGTGAATGGGGGAGAGGAGGCCAATGATGCAGAGGAAGAAGAGGAGGAGGTGCAGCAAGTGAGCGAGCGTGCACCGTCACTCCCTTCCCGTACTACGAGTGCTCCATGGATTCGAGCCACACCGCAGCAACGCCAAGGCCTTCAAGTCCCTGCAGCTGAGGAGGAAGGAAGGGGGAAGAGGAGAGTTCAACCCCCTAATAGGCTGACCTATGATGCGCCGGGAAAGCAGGGCAAGACAGCCCTGGCCGGAGCGGCAATGATGGTCGGAGACGACGAGGAGAGTGACTACGAGGAGTGTGCCTTCGCGTTCTTCTCTCCGGTGGAGATGCCGGGAGAACCAGCAACTCTCAAGGAGGCTTTGGAGAGTAGTGATGCTGAGGAGTGGAAGAAGGCCATGGAGAGTGAGCTGAAGAGCATCGAGGAGAATGACACGTTTGAATTGGTGGAGCTACCGGAGGGGCGTACGACGATAACGTCCAAGTGGCTCTTCAAAATCAAGTCGGATGCCGACGGCAAGATCGAGCGCTACAAGTCTAGGCTTGTAGCCAAGGGGTACCAGCAGAAGGAGAAGGTGGACTTCAAGGAGCTGTTTGCCCCTGTGGTGAAGCCGACGACGCTGCGAACCCTATTCGCGGGAGCCGCCATCAAAGGATGGGTAGTAAAGCAAATGGACATCGTAACGGCATTCCTTAACGGCATCCTTGAGGAGGAGATTTTTATGGCGCAGCCAGAGGGGTTTGATGATGGTAGTGGCAGAGTGTGGAAGCTGAAGAAGGCCCTCTATGGGCTGAAGCAGGCCCCTAGGCAATGGTACATGAAGCTGCGCGAAGTGTTGGAGGGGATCGGCTTCACTCCCTCAACGGCCGATCACTCCTTGTTCATGCTTGGCGAGGGGGAGCAGAGGAGTTTCATGGTGGTTTATGTGGATGACATCCTCATTTTCTCACCCTCTTCTGACCTTGTGAAGGAGGTGATGCTGAAGCTTCAAGACAAGTTCAAGTGCAAGGCCCTTGGTGACGTGAGCTTCTACCTTGGGCTCCACATCGAACGAGATGTGGAGAAGCGGTGCATGCGGGTGCATCAACGAAAGTACCTGGAGGCATTGGCTGCCAACTTTGGGCAGAGTGAAGGCCATGTGGCTACACCCTTTCCCTCTGGGTTCAAGTGTGTGAAGGGACCAGAGGAGGAGAGCGTTGGTGAAGAGGAGAGGCGCCGATTTCACTCGTTGGTGGGCAGCCTCATGTATGCGGCGGTAAACACCCGACCGGACGTCGCGTTTGCTACCGGGCAGCTGGCTAGGGTTGTGCAATGCCCTAATGAGGAGCAGGTAGCAGCTGGAATGAGGGTGGCCAAGTATCTTGGCCAAACACCGACCGTTGGGCTGCAATACTCGGCGGCGGCACAAAGGCGCCAAAAGGGCGCGGATGGTGTTGAACCCGGGCGTTTGTTCCTCACCGCCTACTCGGATGCTTCATATGCATCAGAACCAGAGGACATGACAAGTGTGGGAGGCTTCATATGCTGTGTTGGTGGAGGCCCAACTGCTTGGGAGAGCAAGAAGCAGGTTGACCAAGCTTTGAGCTCGGTGGAGTCCGAGTACATGGCACTCTTCCGTGCCGTACGGGAGATTGTGTGGCAGTGGCGTTTGTTGGCTGAATTGGGGGAGGAGCAGCAAGGACCTACCCCACTGTACTGTGACAGCCAGGGTGCCATTGCTCTTGCTAAGAACCCTGTGTTGCATGGACTCACGAAGCACATGAGAGTGAAGTGGCATTGGACGAGGAGCATGGTAACCGCGGGTGAAGTTGAGTTGCGCTACGTGAAGACCACGGGGCAGCCGGCTGACATGATGACCAAGAGGCTGGTGGAGCAGCAGCATTGGAAGTGTTGCAAGCTGGCTGGGATGGCTCTGAACTGAGAGAGCAACATATCCTAAGGCCAACAATCCGAGGGGGAGTTTGTTGGTGCAACCCTACGGTTTGCACTCGGCTTGTTGTCCGTGTGCGTGAATGTGTGTGTGTATGGAATGGTATGAGGGCATGGGATAATATATATTTCATGCTTATAATTGTGTGTGAATGTTGAGTCATGATGTCGTGTGTGTGTGTCGACTCAATAGCGAGTTATCGCTAGACGCGTGTTACGCGGTCGTTTGTGTCTCGCGCGCGGTTTCTATTTTGTCGTGCGCGGTTTCTATTTTGTCCTGTGTCGAACGTTCGGCGTGTCGCAGGTGTGTGCAGCAGACCCATCAAGAACTCAAGGATGAGTTTGTGATGAAGAGCCCGAGCCTTGGTGTCAAGCCTCAAGTGATTTCGAAGCTTGCCAAAAGGGTACACCTCAAGATATTGAAGATAGTTACATTACTTTGTGTAGTGTAACATTTCACTTGGTGTAGGCCCTAGTGAAGGGTAGTTTCGAGACCTTTCGTGGTTGGGGACAGTGTGGCACTGTTCCACATCACTGTACCTCGGCTCTTGGGGTTTGTAGGAGCTGGGAGTCATTCCCAACTCGTAACTCTTCCTATCTTGTGTTCTAAGACTATAGTGGCTGCCATAGTACCGTTCGTTCAAACCGACGCTGTGTCGTCAATTCTTTATCAAATCGTGCAATCTAAATTGCTAATTGTAGAACGCTCCAGATCCAATTTGAATCAAGTCATTTGCAGCTGTGAGCAGAACGCTATCAACGTTTGAAGCCGCTGTGCAGAAATCCGTCTGTGCTCTCTATCTTTCGTTTTAGGCACATTCAAGCCTATTGTGACTATAACATGCGGTAGCCGTGGGTAAATAGTCCAGTCAGTAGCACGTTGGTCTGGGCGAGTAGGATGGCATGCAGTTGGGCTGTGAGGCGGGTGAGGGCGTCGGCCATGGTCGATGCTCCTTTTTTGTACGTTACGGTGTAGTGGAAATTGTACTCCAAATAGTCCAACCACCGTGTCTGTCACGTGTTGAGATTCGGCTGGGCGCGAGGGTACTGTATCGAGCGATGGGCTGTCCATACTATCACGTCTGCTCCTGTTAGGTAGCACCGCCACACCTTGAACGCGTGCACGATGGCGAGCATCTCACGATCGTGTATCAGGTAGTTACGTTTGGGTGGGTGAAGCTTGCGGGACTCGTACGCAATTGGCTGAAGGACATTCCCAAAGTCCTGCAACAGTACGGCTCTGTCGGCAATGTCGCTTGCGTTGGTGACGAGCTCGAACGGATGGTGAGGATCAACAATGTGTAGTACAAGCGGTGAGCACAAAAAATCTTTTAGGGCAGAAAAGGCAGCTTTCTCTTTCTCCCCGCACATGTACTCAACCCCCTTCCTCAGCAGGTCGGTTAGCGAGGCAGTCAGCTTCGCCATGTCGGGGACGAACCGACGCACATAGTTGACGAATCCAAAAAAACTCTACAACTCGGTCAGGCTGGTCGGCGGTTTCCAGGCCTGAATCGTCGCAATCTTCTTCGGGTTTGTTTCCACGCCATTGGCCAAAGTTTTGTGGCCCAAAAATTCCAGCCTGCCCTGTAAAAAATCACACTTATATGCTTTCGCTAGTAGGCGGTTCTCAGCTATCACTTTAAAAACTGCTTTAATGTCATATAAATGCTGTGTTCTATTGAGGTGGACGATGACACACTTATCTAGAAGCGGGCGGAAAGCCTCGTTCATCGTCATCTGCAGGGGCGCTGGTCAGTCAGAAGGGCATCACCATGTCTTCCAATGAACCGTAGTGGCTCCAGAAGGCAGTTTTTCCATAGTTGGGTGGGTTGACTCGGATTTGGTGGTAACCCCCTCTAAGGTCAATTTCGGAGAAGATGCGGGCTGTGCGAAGTTGGTGGATGCGTTTGTCGGCTCGCGGGATCGGGTAACGAGACTTGATCGTAACTCTGTTCATTGCACGAGAGTCGATGCACATGCGAAATCCCCTGTCTGTTCTCGGTGTGAACAGTGTGGGTGCGGCGAAGGGTGACGAAGTCAGGCGAATGATTTTTTTTCTCGAGCAGGTAATCCATAGGTAATTCACAGAACTGTCGTTGTATTGTTGGCTGTGCTCCTGGTTCTAATTGTATACTGTGGTCGTGCACTGACCACAAATATTCTAATTAAGTCTGTGTGGATCTTCCCGCTAAGCGGTATAGGACTATCTACCACTGTACCCTCCTTCTTGAGCCGGGTGTGGTCGACTGCATGAATCGACACTGTCACTCGTGTCAGAATGAACGAAACAGGAATGATTGACTAGCAACAGAATGTGAGTACAAGTATGACAAACCTAGTTCTGTACCCCCTAGAGGCTAACCCACAATAGCCTACACAAATATAACACATACAATGTTTGACACACCCCCATAGGCTAAGTGGGGGAGAGCAAGGGGTCACAGGACCAGTCAAAGCAAAGAAAAGCAAAGCTCAGGGTGGATCTCAAGGATACCACACAAATTCCGAGCACAAGCAAGTGGTCACAAGACCAGTTCACATGCAGTTTGATAATAGAACAAGAGGTACAGTGATCACAACCTAGCAAGTGAAAGCATGCAGGTATATATATAGAGATCACAGTACAAGCAGAGTCAAGAAGTAAGCAAGTGAGGGAGAGTAGGCACAAGGCCTAGAACAGTACAGAAACGCTGATGGTCACAAGGCTGAAGCGCCTTGGTGAACACATCAGCAGTGTTGGCCCGAGTGGCCACGTAACGCAGACGAAGCTGACCACGCTGCTGCAGCTCTCGAGCAAGGAAGTAGCGCAGAGCGATGTGCTTCGTTCTGTGCTCCAGTCTGTGCTCCTGACACAAGGCAATGGCTGCCTTGTTGTCGACGTACAACACTGGAGGAGAACTAGGCCACTCTCCGAGGTCGGTCAGCAGGTAGGTGAGCCAGCGTAGCTCCTGGGCAGCCATGGCTGTGGCGTAGATCTCAGCCTCACAACTGGAGCTGAGAACAGAGGAAGAGCGTGTAGAACGCCAGGAAACAGAGCTAGAGCCAAGGCTGAAGGTGTAACCCTGAGACGACCGCTGCGTAACCTGGTCGTCAGGCCAAGAAGCGTCTGAGTGTCCAGTGAGGACAACGTCGCGCCGTCCTCCAAGCACAAGCCCCATGCCCGACGTACTGCACAAGTAGCGCAACACCCTCTTAGCGGCATCCATGTGCTCCTTCCGGTGACGGCCAGGAGCGACATAGCGTGCTAGGATGCTAAGAGGGTAGGCTAGGTCAGGTCGAGTGCAGGTCATCAGGTACATGAGGCAGCCCACAAGCTCTGGATACAGGCCACTCGGCTCTACGGACTCATCCGAAGGCAGAGCTGAGAGCGAGTGACCGGTAGGCAGAGGAGTGGGCTGAGGCGAGGAGTACGTGAAGCGGAAGCGCTGAAGGACCTGCTGCACCATGTGTGACTGAGTCAAGGTGATGGTGCGCTGTGCTCTGTCCCGGGTGATCCGCAAGCCAAGATAGCTTGTCAGCTCACCCAGGTCTGTGCACGTGTATCTCTTCTGCAGCTCCGACTTCACGTGGGCGAGTGCCTCAGTGTCAGCAGTAGCAAAGACCAAGTCGTCTACGTACACGAGAACGTAGAACGGCGGCAGAGTGGTGTCGGTGCGTAGAAACAGCGACGGGTCAGCAGTAGAAGGAGCAAACCCAAGAGCAGCAAGAGTAGTCCTCAGTGTGTCGTGCCACTCACGGGGCGCCTAGCGGAGACCGTAGACCGGCCGCCGGAGACTCCACTGGGTACCAGGAGGGAACGTCCCAGTGAAGTCAGGTGGGCGGCGCAGCCAGATCTCCTCGTGCAGGGTGCCCTGTAGGAACGCAGTGCTGAAGTCAAGGCAGTGGAGCTCGTAGTCACGCTGAGCGGCGACGTGCAGCAGAACCCGAAGAGTGGTCATCTTCGGGGTCGGGGAGAAGGTCTGGAAGAAGTCAACTCCCTCTCGCTGACTGAAGCCTCGTGCAACGTAACGCGCCTTGAAGGCAGGCGGAGAACCCGGCGGCCGCTTCACCCTGAAAATCCACATGCCACTGACAATGTTTGCCCCAGGTGGGGGAACCTCGTCGACGTAGGTGCCTGTGGACTTCCAAGAAGCCATCTCTGCGTCCATGGCTGTCTGCCACTGAGAGGAGTACTCACCCTCCATCGCCTCTGCGTAGGAGCGTGGGGTCGGGATGTCTGGTGCATCCGGGTCTCCCTCAGGGGCAATCAGCATGGACACGAGATGAGGTAAAGCAGCCGCAAAGCACTCAAACTCCTCCTGTCTGTCCTCAAGGACGTCCGTGCCAAGAGCACACTCACCCCCGACGGACGGAGGACAGACAGACTCAGACTCAGCGACAAGGCTAGCGGCGTAGTCTAGACGACAGGCGGCAGCAAAGTCAACAAGCTCAGCGACTAGAGCAGACGCAGCAGAGGACACAAAGGTAGGGTCAGTGACAACAGTGGCAAGGAGACGCGCGACAGTAGGACTGGCAGCACGAGTAAGGTCTGACGGCGGGTCGGCAACGTCAGGAAGAGAGGACGCAGGAGGAGACGGCAGAGGGACGAGCAGTGGAAGGACGCAGGGTCATATAGTGAGTGCCAAGGACAGGAGGAGGACGCTGACGCGGAACACGACGACCAGTGCGGGCAGTGCGGACAGGCGACTCTGGACGAGACTCAGAAGACGCAGGACTGGACTCAGGCGACGGAGGACGAGACTCAGGCTCACGACGCTCCGTAAAGCTACCTGTCGGTGCAGTGTAAGGAGAAGGACCAGGCAGTGGAGAGGCAGGCTGTAACTGTGACTGCGACGGGACAGGTGGTGGACTCAGTAGGGGAGGAGGAGTAGGACCAGGAGAGGGCGGGAGACCAAGAACCTGCTGAAGGAGCGGAACGTAGTACGGCCGCGGCCGCTCAGCACCTCCAGCGCCAACCCCCGCAGCAGCTCCAGTCCCAGCAGCTCCAGTACCTCCAGTACGAGCACCTCCAAGACCGGCGGCTCCAGCAGCTCCAGCACCAGCAGCACCACCAGCAGCACCAGCACCTCCAGCAGCTGCAGCAGCAGCAGCACCTCCAGCAGCACCAGCACCAGCAACACCAGTACCAGCAGCACCTCCAGCAGCGCCAGCAGTACCGCCAGCAGCAGCAGCACCTCCTGCAGCTCCAGCAGCACCAGCACCAGCAACACCTCCAGCAGCTCCAGCAGCACCAGCAGCAGCAACACCTCCAGCAGCTCCAGCAGCACCAGCAGTACCTCCAGCAGCTCCAGCAGCACCAGCACCAGCAGCACCAGGACCAGCAGCACCCCCAGTAGCTCCAGCAGCAGCACCGGGGTCCGCGACGCGAGGAGCGCCACTCCGGAGACTGCAGTGCCGAGCGTACCACTCGCGGAGCTGTAGGGGAGAGGGCAGCGCCCGCCTAGGAGGGGAAGCACTAGCACCAGCTCCAGCAGCGCTCCGAGCGCCAGAAGCACCTCTCCTGAGGCTGCCGTACTGTAAGTACCACTCACGCAGCTGCTCGGAGGAGAGAGCTCCTCCAGGTGTGGCACTCCCAGGCTCAGCACCCCCAGACTCAGCACCCCCAGACTCAGCACCCCTAGTCTCAGCACCCCCAGTCTCAGCACGCCCAGACTCAGCACCCCCAGACTCCGTAACCCCAGGCTCCGCACCCCCAGGCTCCGCACCCCCAGGCTCCGCACGCTCAGGCTCAGCACCCCTAGCAGGACGAGAGTCGACAGCTACCTCGACAGGGTCAACCGGGTCTACCTGGGACACACCTGAGGGAGCGGCACCCTGAGGGGGGAGGGGGTCTACCACAGCAGCACCTGGCGCGAGGAAGAGAGGCGGGGGAGGGAGCGGGGCAGTGCGGTAGGGGAAGAGGCGGTAGTAGGGCACCGACTCGTCAAAAGTGACGTCCTGAGAGGGCAGGACACGGCGCGAGATGGCGTGGTAAAACTGCCAACCAGACGCGTCCGGGACAAAGCCAAGGAAGACACAAGGAACAGCGCGGGAGGAGAGCTTGTCCGCAGACGTATCGCGGACAAAAGCTCGAGATCCCCAGACCCGAAAACGCGACGCATCGCCAACCTCCCCCGTCCACAGCAGTGTGGGCGAGGTCTCCGGCAAGGAGACACGGGGCCAGAGGTTGAGCTGGTGCGCAGCGTAGCGGACTGCAAACGGCCACAGAAAGTGGGGGGCAGCCGCATGGATCAAGGAGGTACGAGCGACCTCCATGACCAAGCCAATGCGGCGCTCAGCAACCCCATTCTGCTGTGGAGAGGCCGGAAGCGTGAACGACTGCTCAATGCCGTGCTCCGCACAGTAGGCTGCCAAGAGGTCGGAGGAGAACTCACCACCTCTGTCAGAGTGCAGACGCAAGACAGGGAAGTCCGAGTGGAACTGCTCGCTGAGCTGGAGACGAGAAGCACGGATCCAAGGGATCAAAACAGCAGGGACCTCACCCTTGGTGCGCAAGGGGAAGACCGTGGTGTAGCGCGAGAAGTCGTCAACAACGATCAGGAAGTACCGCTCCTGACCCTGTCCACGGACGCGGGCTGGGCCCCACACGTCCATGTGGAGCGTCTGCAAGGGAGCAGTCGTCGGGGGAAACGAGGAGGAGTGGGGAGCGGCGCGCTGCCGCCCCTCGACACAAGGAAGACAGGGAGGAGCAGGCGAGGGTGGTAGGGGAGGGAGTACCCGGGGAAGACCAGAGACAAGGTACCGTTTGTGCATGGCACGAAGGCGCTGCACAGACGGGTGACCAAGGCGGTGGTGCCAGAGGACAGTCTCGTGCGCCAGAGAGCGACACGAGCAGGGGGCAGACAACTGACCTGACGCAGACGCAGACGCAGCTACCTGAGGGGACTCAGTGGTCAGTGTGTACAGGTCCGACCCCGGCTGCCTAGTGAAGGTAGCGAGGTGACGGCCCGTCCGAGCACACGTGCAGTGTGTCACGCGCTCGTAGGCAGGGGTGAACTGGTGGACACCCCCGTCCCGGAGCGCACAACCCGCCACCAAGTTCGTAGAGAACGAGGGGAGGTGGAGACCTGACAGAGTCCCCGACGGAACCGCAGGACAAGGAAGGACAGTGGAGGAGGTCGCAATGACCGGACCCCCAGAGGGGTCAGCAAGGGAGACAGCAACTGGCCGAGCAAGCTGCTCAAGGGTAGTGCGGTCACGAAAGAAACAGCAAGAAGCGCCTGAGTCTAGAGTGAAGGTGTGCATTGCCTCAGTGGACTCAGTACCAGGGGGCGCAGACTCACTAGCACCTGGAGCAGCAGCCTCACCAGCACCTGGGGCAGCAGACACGGAAGCACCTAGCGCAGCAGCCTCACCAGCACCTGGGGCAGCAGACACGCAAGCACCTAGAGCGGCAGCCTCACTGGTGCGAATGCCCGGGTCGGGCGGAACACGCAGGTACTGATCACCCTCTCCACTAGTAGACAACACATACATGGCAGTGAGAATAGCATCAAAGTCAAGAGCAAAGACATCAATGTTCTTCTTCATCAGATCCCACCAGCGGGGCAGCTCAGTGGCAGTAGGGAACTGAGTGCGCCAAGCGTCGTCGAGGCGGGAGAAGCAGCGCTGCGTGGTGTGCGCCCTCCCACACGTCTGGCCAGTGCGCTCACCAGTGCGGATGACGTACGTACAGCTAAGGCCACCCCCCCCCCCGTGCTGAGAGTACCACTCACGAAGCTCCTGGGGAGAGAGAGTCTGCTGTCCGCCAGTGCCTCCACGACCACCACCGCCTCCGCCACCACCTCGACCACCACCGCCTCTGCCGCCTCCGCATCCACCGCCGCCCCAACCACCGCCCCCACCCCGGCCACCTCCTCCGCTGCTGCCGCCTCCACCCCCACCGCTGCCACTAGCCCCTCCAGCCCCGCCACCACCCCCACCGCCGCCACCGCCCCCACCACCACCTCCCCCGCCGTCACCTCCACCTCCCTTGCCCCCTTTGCCCTTGCCGCTGCGACGCCAGCTCGGAGCGGACGCAGTCCCGACCTGCTCAGTACCAACTAGGTCGACAGCAGCAGCAGAGGCGACAGATGGGAGAAGGGGGGAAGGGGAACACCCCTCGAAGAAAGGGGTGCGGGGGTCGCCACGAGAGGCAGCTACAGCGACTATGCTAGTCTCAGCTGCAAGCAGCTCCTGCTCGAGCAGGTCAACGGTGAGCTCAGTGGGGCAGCGAGCGAGGAAGTGGTCCCTGACCGCACGAAGATAGTCAGGGAGACGGGTGACAAGGTGGTAGAGAGTGAGCCAGAGCGGGGGGGGGGTGGGTGGCAAGAAACTCAGCGGGCATAGCGGCACGGAAGCGAGCCTCACTAGTGCGGAGGTGCGTGGTGAGGTCAGCTACTGTGGCGAAAGCGGACAGGTCTGGGAACAGGTAGGGGAGCGAGAGACGGCCTAGCGCAGCAGAGGCAGGTGAGGAGTAGCGTGCAACTACAGCAGTGTACAGTGCCTGCGCAGTTTTGTGCTGGCCAAAGTGCTCGCGCTCATCTACCGGCAGGGAGTTGCGAATAGCAAAGCGAGCGTGGGCGTCACGAGTCTGCCACTGGGAGCGGGCAGTACTGTCAGCAGTAACAGCAGGGGCAGCAGCGAGGCCTAGTGCGTGATCGTACAGCGAGATGTTCTCCTTGGCAGTGAGCTGGAGGAACAGGTGCAAGTCATCTAGCCAGGTGTCAAACTTCAGTGGGCGGCCCTCAGTATCAAAAGCGAGTACAGCAGGGCTAGCCATAGTTGCAGTAAGAGCAGTAGTAACAGCAGTAACAGTAGCAGTAGTAGCAGTAGGCAGCGTGACTCAGGTAGGGCGGCTCGGTCCAGAGAGGGCTGCTCAGTACGGGGAGGGCGGCGCGGCTCGGTTCGGGCGGCGCGGCTCGGCTCGGGCTGGGTGGCTCGGTTCGGGCGCGGCTCGGCTCGGTTCGGGCGGCTCGGTTCGGGCGGCTCGGTTCTGGCGGGGCCATGGCGGTCGCGCGTGGGGCGGCTCGGTTCTGGCGGGGCCGACGGGGCCTCTAAGGGGGGCGGACGCGGGGCCGACGGGGCCTCTAAGGGGCGAACGCGGGGCCGACGGGGCCGCTAAGGGGCGGCGCGCGGGGTCGACGGGGCCGTAAGGGGCCGCTAAGGGGCCGTGCGCGGGGTCGACGGGGCCGTAAGGGGCCGCTAAGGGGCGGCGCGCGGGGTCGACGGGGCCGTAAGGGGCCGCTAAGGGGCGGTGCGCGGGGTCGACGGGGCCGTAAGGGGCCGTTAAGGGGCGGCGCGCGGGGTCGACGGGGCCTTGAGGGGCCGCTAAGGGGTCGACGGGGCCGTAAGGGGCCGCTAAGGAGGGGCGCACGAGGGCGCAGGGGGGAGGTGCTCGAGGGCGCTCCAGCAGTAGGGCGCACGAGGGCGCTGGTAGGCAGTCAGTGTGGTGGGCCCTTAAAGAAAAATCGGTCCTAGCGGAGGACCTGCTCTGAAACCATGTCAGAATGAACGAAACAGGAATGATTGACTAGCAGCAGAATGTGAGTACAAGTATGACAAACCTAGTTCTGTACCCCCTAGAGGCTAACCCACAATAGCCTACACAAATATAACACATACAATGTTTGACAACTCGGTGAGGGTTGGTTGGGTCGGGCGATCGGCGTGACTTGTCAGTAGAGGGCCCGTCTGCCACTGACTTCCAGCGTTTCCCTGCTGCTTAATATGTTTCTGCTGCTCAGCTACTTCCTTTACCTTAGCTTTCGGGCATTCGCCTTTGTAATGCCCCGGCCGATTACACGCGCAGCGCCCTTTGAACGGTGCTGCAGCGGGATTCGCGGCGACGGCACGTATTGTGGTGTGCTCGTTCCTCCTGTTAGAATAACACGAGGAATGGATGAACTAGAAATGAGTTGGGTACAAATAGGGAAACCTAGAAATGCTGTACCCCCTAATGTCTAACCCACTACAGCCTAAACAGGCTATAACATATGTTTGACACACCCCCATAGGCAAAGTGGGGGAGAACAAGAGGTCACAAGACCAGTCAAGAAAAGCAAAGCAAGCTCAGGGTGGATCTCAAGGATACCACACAAATTCCAAGCACAAGCAAGCGGTCACAAGACCAGTTCACATGCAGTTTGATAATACAACAAGAAGTACAGTGATCACAACCTAGCAAGTGTAAACATGCAGGTAGTCATATATAAGGATCACAGTACAAGCAGAGTCAAGAAGTAAGCAAGTGAGGCAAAGTAGGCACAAGGCCTAGAACAGTATAGAAACGCTGATGATTACAAGGCTGAAGCGCCTTGGTGAACACATCAGCAGTGTTGGCCCGAGTGGCCACGTAAGCAAGACGAAGCTGACCACGCTGCTGCAACTCTCGAGCAAGGAAGTAGCGCAGAGCAATGTGCTTCGTTCTGTGCTCCAGTCTGTGCTCCTGACACAAGGCAATCATGGTACAGCACTGGAGGAGAACGAGGCGGCTCTCCAAGGTCAGTCAGCAGGTAGGTGAGCCAGCGTAACTCCTGAGCAGCCATGGCCCCTGCGTAGATCTCAGCCTCACAACTGGAACTGAGAACAGAAGACGAGCGGGTAGACCGCCAGGAAACAGAGCCGGAGCCAAGGCTGAAGGTGTAACCCTGTGACGACCGCTGCGTAGCCAAGTCGTCAACCCAAGAAGCGTCTGCGTGACCAGTGAGGACAACTCGAGCCCGTCCTCCAAGCACGAGCCCCATGCCTGACGTACTGCACAAGTAGCGCAACAACCTCTTAGCAGCATCCATGTGCTCCTTCCTGTGTCGGCCAGGAGCAACATAACGTGCTAGGATGCTAAGAGGGTAGGCTAGGTCAGGTCGAGTGCAGGTCATCAGGTACATGAGGCAGCCCACAAGCTCTGGATACGGGCCACTCGGCTCTACGGACTCATCCGAAGGCAGATCTGAGAGCGAGTGACCGGTAGGCAGAGGAGTGGACTGTGGCGAGGAGTACGTGAAGCCGAAGCGCTGAAGGACCTGCTGCACCATGTGTGACTGAGTCAAGGTAATGGTGCGCTGTGCTCTGTCCCGGGTGATCCGCAAGCCAAGATAGCTTGTCAGCTCACCCAGGTCTGTGCACGTGTGTCTCTTCTGCAGCTCCGACTTCACATGGGCGAGTGCCTCAGTGTCAGCAGTAGCAAAGACCAAGTCGTCTACGTACACGAGAACGTAGAACGGCGGCAGAGTGGTGTCGGTGCGTAGAAACAGCGACGGGTCAGCAGTAGAAGGAGCAAACCCAAGAGCAGCAAGAGTAGTCCTCAGTGTGTCGTGCCACTCACGGGGTGCCTGGCGGAGACCGTAGACTGGCCGCCGGAGGCTCCACTGGGTACCAGGAGGAAACGACCCAGTGAAGCCAGGTGGGCGGCACAGCCAGATCTCCTCGTGCAGGCTGCCCTGTAGGAAAGCAGTGCTGAAGTCAAGAGAGTGAAGCTCGTAGTCACGCTGAGCGGCGACGTGCAGCAGAACCCGAAGAGTGGTGATCTTCGGGGTAGGGGAGAAGGTCTGGAAGAAGTCAACTCCCTCACGCTGACTGAAGCCTCGTGCAACGTAACGCGCCTTGAAGACAGGCGG